GACGGTGCGAACGTCAATGCTTTCAAGCCGGCTATTGCAAATTAAAATGAATACTTATTTTTTCCGAAGAGAAACTATTGTCAAGGAAGCGAACGCTGCTGTTGTCGCTGTTGTTGAACCGTGAAATTTGCCAGCATCATTTTAAGCATAGCATTTTCTTTCTCAAGTTCTTCTATCTTCCTCGCGACTAAGCGATCTTTGTCTCTTTTCGCATGTCGAGATTTCCAAAATGTGATCACATATAGTGTCATATACAAATCTCTCTAAACACTTCGCTGGAACTGGTAGTAGTGAGATGGATCTGTAATTTTCCACCAATTCCTTTTTGTCACCTTTATGCACAGGAGTAATGTTGGCCGATTTGCATAGCTTTGGCATTACACCAGATCTTAATGATGAAATAACTGAAGCGCGCCAAGGGTGTTGATAGTTCGTCTGCACATATTCGCAGAATACAGGGAGGCAGTTAGTCACGTCCAGGTGCTTTGTTAAGATTAATATTGGGCAAGGCCTTCTGAACATCAAGTGCTGAGACAGACAAATCAGACAGCAAATTCGGATTTAGAACATCTGGATAGGTCAAGTTAACACCAAGTTGAGACTTTTTATAGATGGAACAAAAATAACTGCGTTGAATAGCTCAGCCTTAGAGGTTAGATCAGATGAAGAATAATTGCCATACACAACAGATTCAAGTAGTCGCTTGGATTTACATTTCATTGAATGGAAAGACCAAAAGTGCCTGGGGTTGTCTTGTAGTTTCTCAGACAGGGTATGTAGATATGAACGATAACAGTTCAGCTGATTCACCTGACTAGATGCGTTTCCACAGTCTCTTTTTTTTTCTCTGATCAACTCCGTGATGTCATTATCAATCCATGGCGGTCGTGAACGCTTCTTAAGAGTAATAAATCATAAGAGCAATAAATCATGTAGTTATTGGAATTCAAACACCTTATCTAATGTCATTCAGTATGGCAAAAGATTATGAAAATTCATCTTTGAACAAGTATTTACTGTCAGATGATTTGCCAAAAACTGATGTTTGTGGAACTGAAGTAAGTTTAGATCTTAAAAGTGATTACAGTGAAGGAATATTGTCTGATTCAGTTGGCAGCAAATCAATTCTCAAAAATCTTGTAAGAAATAATAGTTGAATGCACAGGGTTTTTGATATGGTTCTCAGATATTTGTATGACATGTATTTTTAAACCCACAAAAATGTCAAAATATGTGTATTTCCCTCTTGGTATGTAATGAAAGTCAAATTTCTCTAATAGAATATAATGAAACTGTAAATAGCACTGCTTCTCTTGTTGTGGCCATCAGCAGTATTAAATATTCAGAGATTTTTCTATTAGAAACAATATGAACTATTGAACAGTAATATTGCTTCAATCTATTGATTTTTGACAACTCTTTGGGTGAACATCTGGCAACAAACTATGACTTGGTACCAATAATAGATAAAAAATTTCCTTCTCCTTACAGTTAAAGACAAATACATTACCTACTCAGGGTTTTGTAAAAGCCTTGAAAGTCCCTCAAAGATGCTTGAATTTAAAAATTAGCAACTCAAAGCCTTGAAAGTACTTGAATTTGGGGACTAAGGCTTGATTTTTGCAATGCTTTTTCTTTAGCAATTTTAAAGTTAAAAATTACAGTACTTTCATGGCAAAGCTGAGAAATAATATTAAATAAACCTCTCCAAAAGTGGTCCCTTCAATTTTCTAAAACTTGGCCTCAAAGTCATTGATAAGTCCTTGAATTTCAACCTTTGGCATCTACAGGAACTTACTCCTATATGGTAATATACTATTTAGATTGTTGTCTAGTACCATAACCACATTCATTACACTCCAGCAGACAAAAATAAACACAAGTGCAGACTTATACGTGACCAACAATAATGAAATTGCGTGACGACAGTAACAATGGCAATATGGCAGTCCTCTAAAGATAACTCTAGATGTGCGATATTGAAAGCCCGAGTTCACGTAGATATGCGTCTAGTTACTATTCAATTTGAAACTGTGGGCGTTGATATGCAGATCAAATGTTTAACCATTCAACTTTTTGGAGCCTAAGGCAAAGCGTTTTGTTCTAACATTGCGACAAATCTTTTTTCTCTGAAAACCTGACCATGTCCGGAGACTTCCAGACATGGAATTGAGCTAACCACCTCCCGGTTAGCTCAATTGGTAGAGCGCCGGACTGTTGTGCGGGAGGTCGCGAGTTCAAATCCGGCCGGACCATCACTCAGGGTCTTTAAATAACTGAGAAGAAAGTGCTGCCTTTGTGATAATATCTGCAAATGGTTAGACTTTCTAGTCTTCTCGGATAGGGACGATAAATGGAGGTCCCGTCTCACAAGCCCTTGTATGTAATAAAAAAAAATTGTGGGACGTTAAAGAACCCACACACTGTTCGAAAAGAGTAGGGCACGTAGTGCCCGGTGTTGTGGTCCATCTTTGTGTAGTGTCTATCAAATTGATGGGGGGTACTGCGCCTTTGAATATTGTATAGAAAGGGCGCAATATAAATAAGGAATTAAAATTCATATCGAAGATGGCCCGAAATTTATCGAATATGTCATCATCGTCAACTTCCTTTTTTCTAACAATGCAAAAAATTGGTGGCTAATGAAGTCAACGCGGACCTACATTTTTTACTAAAAATAATGTACTTTATATACTAAATAACGTGACATATACTAAGTATGAAACGCTCTAAGTAGTGTGCTCCTTATAAAGAATGATTTTACTTTGAGTAACTGTCTACAGTACTTCCCTCACACAACCTAAGGGTTTGACCAAGGCATGATCATTTGTACGGACTTTTTTTCGCTTTTGTCGATTCGGATTTGTTTCACGCGATAATTTCTTTTAAAATGGGGCATTCAAGGCTCTGATAGTTCGAACCTTTCCGGGCCAGCAGGTGCGATGAGGTGGTCTTATTTGAAAATATCTGAGGAAAAAAGAAATCGATTTTAACGCACCGCGCGGAACTCTATCGCCATGAAAATCTGGAATGGAATGGAATGGATACATTTTTTTAAAATGGAGGAGTAACCAAGGTTAGAGTTCATCTTAAATATGAGCATTCTCTGAATAGGAATTCTTCTGTGAAAAAAAGGAGAATTGAAAAATTGTATGAGGAAGAGCGAAGATGGCAGAGAGACTCGATACGCGTGAGGCCAGGTAAGCTTTTTTAATTTCAAGAGGCAACACTATTTATCCAGATGGCCTTAACGCTCGCGAAGAAATGTATTAGTTTCTAGTTATTTATCCATTTAGGGCCTGATTACATGAGCCGGGCTGGCCCTGTTAGCCGGGCTGATTTCTTTTGTTTTGGTGTTCGCCAAAGCGTGAAAACAAAAGAATTCAGCCCGGCTAACCGGGCCAGCTGCTCGGCTCATGTTAATCAGGCCCTTACCTTACTTCATTTCTATTTCTGCTCACTATTTCTATTTTATTGTTATCTCATTGTCAATCAAATTAGTTTTACATATTTCCGCTGTTACATCATACAGCTATCTATGAAGCATCACCCCAATTCTCTGTTAATTCCCACTGCACCTGAAGAAGGCTGGTTTGGCCAGCCGAAACATAGTGCTCTGTCTTAAAATTTACTTATCTACGTCGTATCGGTCTTGCCTCTATATTTGTAAGATGAAGTACGAAAAAAATGTAATAAGACGGTTGAGCACGTAATAAATGCAATAGTGGTTTCATTTTTTGGCAACGGCTTGCTGAAATTTTGTTATCAAGAATAGCGTTTATCATATAAATTGCGGTGTTATACAAGGGTTTCCGGAGAAAAGTATCTTTTAAGCGCGTTTGGCATCGCCAATCAACCGCTGACAAACCTGCCCGCACGTCACTCGGCTTTCGCGCCACTTTAGACTTCACACCGCTGTCAAGCCTCTTGTTAAGTTGTTGAAGGAGTATAGTAAGTCGTTTCTAGCTCTTATCAGTGAAGGCACAAGATGATATATGGTTTCTCGTATACCTGGAATTTTTTTTTTTGGATTGTTCAACTCGATATCTCGCTCTTTCGGCGCTGCGCTCACTCGTGAGCTATCGATTTGAACTTCATTTCTATGCGCGCCCATATATTATTTTTCTATCAGTGTAATCTAATTGTTATATCTTTCGTCCGGCCGATGGGGGAGCCCTATTATCTCACGCTATCGACTTTAAGATAACTGAAAGTTTTTCCTTAGTAATACAGCAACCTTAAAAAGAAAAGACAAACGCGCGAGATAAACTAATTAAAACAAAATGGTTACCCGCAATGTGCAGTTACGGTTAAATGAATGTTAATTTTGAAAAAAAGCTCAGCTAAAACTAACTGTTTTAAACGGAAAAAGACCTCCGTGTATGCTTTTCTTCTTTCGCTCAAAAGAGCGCTCATGAATTTCTTACTAAGATCTAACCAGTTTGCAAAATTCTTGAGGAACCATAATCGAGACAGGACACTCAATTTTAAATTTCTCAGCACAGGCCCAACAGCTTTTCGTCTTCACGAGGACGGTCATGTGTTGTGGTTTCTTTAACGTATTAGTTCATTGCATAAGCCACAACCAGTAGAGGCGTGTTACATAATTGTGCGTGACACGGTAGATATTAGATATGGTTTCTTCCAATATCTTTGAAAAACTCACTACATCTTAATGATAAATGTCGGTAATAATCTAATTTTGGACTTTACACCTGATCGCTAGTAAATGGTTCTCAAAGAAATTGGATCGCGGAAAGCTCAGTCACGCGCTTCAAAGTCACGCCATTCCTCCAGACACGTGTATCGTCATGCATAATTCGTTACGCGTAAATTTGCAATGTGACTACGTCTCAACTGGGGAACTGGGAAACGTGACATTCAACGTGAGTCTACCAAAGATGACCAATCAAATGTCTCGTTATGTAATACATTGAATAAATGTACGGAATTTAATGAGATTCACATTTCTTTATATTAGAAGCTTGCACGTGAGCCTCGATCGTAAATAAACCACCGGCTTATGAATCGTTGCCAGTTTAGCTTTGGAGAGTAAACGATCTCGACCCAGTGTTGCGGATCTTACAGCTAGATTCCTTTCGAGACGCCGTCAAAACTCATGGAGCTGCTTCAAGCACATGGGATTGATAATTTTCACATTTTGGGTAAGAATATGAAACTTGCCAAAAAATTCGCGCTGTACCGCACTGAATTGCTCGTCCACACATGGGGCGGTCAATTCAAAATAATAATCTACATCCGATAAAACAGTAATTTCATTCGGTGTATATTTTCACCCATGTCTATAATTATTTCGGAAATGGATTGAATGAAAACTCGCCATCTAACAAGCTAAGTTGGAAAAACCTTGCGGATCAAAGTCCCTTAAGACATAAATAGAATATAATTCCTGGTCAATTGTCTTATTGTAGTCAGATATAGCGTGGACTCTGCAATGTTGCATCAGAGAACAAGCCATTTTTGAGACTATTTGAATTTAAGCTGTGCCACGGCCTAAATCTCTTATTGTCCTTTCATTATTGTCTCTGATGGGATATTTTTCACAGAGAATATATATATATTACATTAACTTCATCTTAATAAGTTTTCATAAGCTAACACAGCAAAGTCCACTTAACTTAAAGGCGGAATACCTTTACACGGTACTCAAAAATTGTGGCATAGAAGATCTAAAAAATTTGGTAATAGGTTAAGTAGCGAATTGGAATTCTGACCTGAGAAGGATTGCCCCTCTTCTATTTGCCAATTCAGCAAATTTTAACAAAACCCTGTTAGGTTTGAAACAAAAGACCATGTTTGTTTGAAACACTTTCTAAAGTACATGTGGCGTCGGTACTCTATGAGAATAGAACGCTTTCTCAGTTGAACTGGAGAACAATTTATAAGTTTTTACTGAACAAATTATCCTGGTTAAAGGTGGTACCTCCGAAAGTCCAATTCGGACTTCCTGTAGGAGTGCAGCTAGTTGGCGTTTTCTTTGTGTGCTTAGCTAAGGGAGAATATGACAACAACACTAATAATTACTTAAGGCGACCACTTTTTATTTTTCAGCCTTGCCTGTTGGTGTGTTATTGAATCCCATTGCCATAAAAAGCTACCTAAAACAGCCAAACCAATTTGATTTACATTTGCGCTGTTGCACTTTCATTATTTGTATCTCAATGGCTAAAGTTGACGTTCTTATTACCTATTTTTATCATTTTATCAACAGAGGATAACCTTTCTGGGTTTGATGATGACGAAGACAGTGGTTTAAGCTCATCTCCGTCCACACCCGGGCCAGCGGACAACGAAAACGACCCTGGAATGTTTGGATTCGAAAACGAACCGTGTTCGAATCTTGTCGAAACACTCAACACGTGCCTCTTTGATGGCGAATTGCCCAGCAAACTATATACTCACATTAAGATTAAGGAGGACTGCGATGACGAACCTTGGCAAAGCGTTACCTTTCCGGACCAGCTGAGAGATGTAATAGCTTCACAATCACTCAGCTTATCAAGTGATTTCTTCGGGGAGCCTTTCGAGTTATTGAACGATTTATTTGAGCCTTCTACTGATGAAAAAGTTGACGATGAACGGTCAGGAAAACTGCAGTTCTTCACTGAGGACAAGTTAAAGGAAGCGTGCCCTGATGATTCGTCTGATGAAACAAATGACTTTACTACGAACATTGTCGAAGAGCCAGCGATCGAAGTCGTTTGTACTTCGGAAGATGTTCGCCGGGATTCAGTTAAACGTAAACTCAGAACTCGCAACAAAATTAGTGCTATCTCTGATCACAATTACGTCAAATTGTCACATAAAGCTGCTGAAGCTAATAATGAGTTTGGAGATGACGATAAGACTACGGTTGTTGAAGATACAGAGGCGGAAGAAGAAGACGAAGATGATGACGACGAAGATTTTAAGCCATCTTGTTCAGCAAAGAAATCACGCCGCGCGTCCCCAAACCCTGGTATGGGTAAAAACGAGAAGTACTGGGAACGAAGGAAAAGGAACAATTTGGCGGCAAAACGGTCACGCGAGGCTAAACGAGCCCGCGAGATTGCGGTCGCCAAAAAGACTTCTAATTTAGAGAAAGAGAATAATAATTTGAGAAGGCAGGTTCAGAGACTGAAGGCTGCTATTTCTAAAGCTGAGAAAAAACTTCGCGCGATGGTGTAGCAATGTTCGTCGTTTAAAGAAAGTTATATGGATATATTTTCTCCTAAATTGATCGTGTTGTTGCTTTTGATCTAGACCAAAGTGCATCATATTCCAGTCGTTCAACTATTTACACAATCAGGGCGTAAAGATTAGTTATTTTCTACGCCATAATTTAAGAATTCATCTTGAAGAATTCATTCTCAATGCGTCAAGGTTCGCCCTTTTTCGGTGAGAAACTAAATGTAATATTCATGAACAAATGTACGCGTTGTTTTGTGTAAATATATCACTTCTGAACAGAACACGGGCTAAAACTTCTCTGATATTACGATCTCGGGAAATCTCAAAGATCACAGCGTGCGCTATTCCTGTCCTCACTTGCACAATCAAAATCAAAACTCCTTGAAATCGAGCTGCCTTCCGGGGTGGGGAGGGGGCGACGTCGCTTCCAAGCGTCTTTTTAACCTTAAGGTGATAAGACTGGTTTGCGAGCGAAAGAGTAGGAATATAGGATTCCAAGCACCATAAAGAAACTTAAAATTCACACTTTAAACGTCTTGATCGTGAACACCTACTGTTGATCGTCTTGTGTTATGGTCGCCAATGGCTAATTAAGCTTACTGTTAGAGACGTCAGATCTAAGACGTTGCACGGACATGGACGCTAGTGAAACTGCGTAATGCGAAGACAGTGCGGATCTTGGTATATGTAAGGAGCCTGGGTAAACCAAGCTTTCACTACTTACGCATGCATGTTCCGCGAATTTAATCAGAGGAGACAATCTAAAGGGTAGACTAGCGTAAGACGAAGGTTTGAAATAGGGAAAACAAGGGAGACTTGCCTTCCATGTCTATCGCGAACTTTTCCTATCGCTTGCGCAACACTTAACGGTGGAATGTAATGGAGCTGAAACAATCTGCGTAAGTCGGCCGTTTTGCTTTTAACACAATTTGGGCACCAAAAAGTGGTCACTCTGTATTAAGCAAATAACAAATCTAACAATAGTTGAATATTTCTTGAAAAAATGGGAATCCATTGCGGCAATTAAATCTCACCCTTACTTGTCAACATATTGATTACGTTCTTCTTAAAATAGTCCAATAAGGCAATGAAAATATTAGCACAAATAAAAAGAACACTGAAAAAAAAAGATGACAAAAATTGTTTACACGAAGATGATGTTGGAAATAAATGTTTTGCGGAGACGTATATGTTTAATAAAAAAATGTTTGCAGAAGAAAATTTCTCATACGTATACCCCCCTCCAGAAAAGTAATGGTCGGTCCGGCTAGGGTTAGTCAGAAGTGATGCAGCGCTTGAACCTCAGGTCTTTTCGATACTTTGCTTAACCTAAGCACAGCTTTGAACCAACGGGCTCAAAATAGTTCAGAAAAATAGTCGGGGGTTATTCCAGCCCTGAGCCCTTGGCGAAGGAGAGAACCACAAGTAAAGGAGTAGAGATCAGGCTGAAGGTGTGTTGCAGTAAAGTAACCGACCAAGGCTCGTATCCAGACCTCTCCACTAACCCGGACCTTTCAAGGGAGTGCCGAGCACCAACGACTAAGCCATTGGAACTCGCTAGACAACTATTTCGCGAAAGAAAAATAAACAGACAAAAAACAGTAATGATTGGGTAACTATTTGTGTTTTAGAGTTTTAGCAAAAACATTTGAAAAAAGAACCGGGCCTTAGAAAAATAACTTGGTTTGCTTAATTACGATTCCTCTCAGTTTGTTAGCGACCCACTTAAAATCCGTAGCTGTGATTTGTTGTTGTTTTGTGGCTTTCCTCTATGAATTACTTTTCACCCAGCTTCCTAGCTATTTTATGGCAAACGATTCGTTAAGAAAAATCAACCTTAGAAACATCTCAGATATCATGGTTAGCCAGCGTTCACCGGTACCGGTGAATTCGAACCAGTTCGAGTGGGAGCTGGGAAAGAGTACATGGGGGAAAGATGGCGGGAGAGGAAAGCCCGATATGTATTCTTTCTCTGTGTTTTCATTCCTCTCCTCCTCTTATGAACCCTTTGACACCCATGAGTGATTAGCATCTAATTTCTCCCTACTTGTACTACCCCTGAATCAAACATTACGGTCACGAGAATAAAAGCATTGATCACCAACTAAAAAAATCTCTTGATGGGTAAAGAAATTCTTCTTGTCGTCACCTTAGGAAATGTATAAAGAACGGTTTGGAGAATACGCATTCTAATGTTAGGGCGCAAAGGTACAGTTTAATAGTGTTCATGATCGACAGAAGTGCACTCTTCTCTTCTTCTTTTTCGATAACTTTTTATCATGACCGCTGACAATCTCCTCCTCAGCTTTTCGAGCAAATATTGATTTTGTCTCGACCACGTTTTTTTTCGGGCTATAACGTAATAAAGCCACGCGAGATGTTGAGAGGACACGAGGAAAGTTTAATATGACATATGACATGCTTTTATGACATAACTAATTAAATGCGGGTTCCGTAACCTGAAAAAGCATCCGCTTGGAAACTGAATTGACCAATCCGACGATGTGCACTATGTTCATGTTATAATGAGTGGTAGAGAATTTCATTAAGTTTGCTTTTCTATGCTGTGTGATTCTTCTAGAAAATAGTGCCGATGACTTTCCGATGTGTTTTGGCATTTGCGGTTTCTCATGCTTAAGAGAGTTTGGTTTCGTTGTTTTCATTTTGAGGTCTTGTAAGCAGCTCTTTGTCTCGTTTCAATTTTCTGTTGTGGTTTCGTCAGAAGCACGCTCAACACGAGTTTCCTTTTCGTGAAATCAGCCACTCGCGTTGCGCGTGGGACGAGTGTTAAAAATCACGTTTTTCCTTTTCAAACACGTAACCCCTCGAGAGTGATGTAATATAAGACCATACAGGGGCAGTGGTGCATGAAATATTGGTGGTGTGATTCTTTCTCACAGAAACTGTCCAACTTTACGTAACATTTTGATACTTCAAACGCAATGAAAAGAAAAACACAAAGGAAATCAGGTCTGAAAAAAGAAGAAGTAAATAATTCAGGGAGTCAAGGTATAGCGTGATTGGACGGCCCATTTACAGCTTTGAAAATGATGTTGTGCCGTTTTCGCATTACGATCCACATCAAACTTACTTTGCACAATAGTGCACAGTTTGGTTGAATATCACTTGGGTTTAACCATAAAGTCGAACTCTCTTTTTCTGCTAATACCCAAGCTAGCTGAGCACGTTTAGGGCGACGAAAACCAGAATCAACCCGGTCTGCCGGTTGGAACCAGGCACAAGAAAGGCGTAAACGAGATCTGGAGGCCAGAAAACGCGTTCTACAAGAGAAATTTAGCTTTGGGAAATATTATTATAGATAGTCAACATCTTTGAGTATTAAATTTTCACGACGGAAACTATTCCTAATCGTTGTGAAATTGAATCATGCAGCCAGTTACGTAATTGGCTCGCGGAATATTAGTTCATGTGTATTCTTTCGTGTTCGGACTCACCAAACCGAACTTTTTTCGTGTGTGCACTATTTCATCGGAATAATCTAGGTGAAGAGCGGTGCTCCTGCCAGGTAAAGTTGCCAAAGCGACCTCCCTGGCCGTTCCTACGAAGGAAAAAAAGAATTGCGAAATCCAACTTGAAATTGGGCTAACCGATGCGGAAAGATCTTTAGGGAATGACCTCAGGTAATAATCTTTACCGTTTTGTCACGCTTGCCTCGTATAGTTTCAAAGTGGTCTGGTAAATGTGATTTCTCGCCCAGTAATGCAAATTTTTAAGTATCGGAGCTCTCCCAAATATCAGATCTATCAGTGCGGTTTTCTCTGTTTAATCATAAATGTAAACCCCCGGAGAGACGGTTTTTTTTGTGTGGGTTGTTAATTTTGATGGAGAAAGTTGTGGTGTGGCCCATCTTTAGATTGCATGCTCTAAACACAAAATACCAAAACCGAATCACGGTCTCTAAATCCGCAATGCAGACACTACTTTTTAATGGAATTAAGGATCAAAAAAATCGTTTGACAGATGCTTGTCTCACCAGGTTTGTTCGCCATCGCCTAAAACATGTAGACTGAAAAATTCAACTTCGATAAAGTAAAATTAAACTAGATCTGCTTTTCACGCGCGAAATTTGTGGTCAGGATTATGAGCGTTGGGAAATCCGAAGGAAAAACTTCAAACCACAATTTTGGTAAATTATAGAACTTTAACCGCACCTCGGCCCTCGAGGTGTGAAAACAAGTTTGTCTAGGAGATGCTAATGGAGGAAACTAGATTTTTTTTGCTTCCCTTGCCGTGAAACTACTGCACGTGAAATCACATGCACGTCTTTGCTTGTGATTGGTTTAGCCGTTACGCACGAGGAACTGGACACTACTTATCCCATGACGCGTATGGTAATGTCGGAGCTTGACCAAGAGAAGAATCACTGGAGTGGGGACGATGATCCACAATAAAAAATTACACTCACTGTCAAAGTCTCCCGTAGTATTGGCAATTTATTTTTAAAAAGATAAGACTATATCTATTCTGATTTTCTGACTGCGAACTGGAACATTTTCATGGCCATTTCTTCTTCTTAACGCAAGAAATAAGAATATCCCTAGCCCCTACTGGTAGGGGATTGTAACTCCTGTTAAACCAGGTTGGCACTCTGAAGCCGATGAGACTATCACTATCAAGCGAGCCAGCAGCGTGTGCTGTTATAACTTGTTTATCGTTTCTAAAGATGTAGATTCAAATATATTTCGAAACAACTCGTTTTCTTGTGAGAACATTGTTTAAGTGTGAAACCTTCGGGAGCTTCAAGAGGCTGTGGAAGGATATTTTATCGGAGAAAGTCTTGTTTCATCTCGAGAGTTGTCAGTTCCGGGATAGTCGCGTTAAACCGTAGCTCGACGCGCCGTTGCTTTCGCTTATTTCCCTTTCTGGGAGTTGGAAAATCGATTTGAGGAGTTTGGCTGAGTTTGAATTGGACTGTACAGGGTCCTCAGTGTATGGATATGGTTGTCAAGATTATGCAGGCCCGCTTTCCCTCTCAATTTGACCTAGAAAAGTACTCTACTCCGTTGTTTGATAATTTACGGGAGAAGGCAAGGAAGAGAACTGCTCACGAAGCGTTTTCTAAAACTGCGGACGCACTAGATGATCTCGAACTAGCTCCGAGGATTAAACGTGTCGTGCGGCGGCCACCGCCTGCTTTAACGATATATGTGAGGAGAGAGAGCGAAAAAGCTTACAATGCAATAATGCTGGAAGAAGTAACAGTCGAGAGCCTGAAACTGGCGTTGTCTGAGAAATACGGCACTCCGTCAGATTCAATCACGAGTTTTGCTCTTCGATGCAAAGAAGGGTAAGTTGAGTTTAATTGCGTTAGTGAGTAGAGATTTCACGATCTAAGTCTTAAATCGAAAATGAAAGGCAGGAAGTGTATACGAAGGGGAGTACCAAAGTTGTTTACTTTTAGTACTCTTTCGCATGCTAGATGATCGTATTTGCACGAGTTTACGATATTTTGCCCTCATGAGCTAGCGCTAATTTTTGCTTCAAACAGCTGATCATGTTTAGTTACCGTTAGAAGTCATTTTGCTTACTCTTTAGCTCTGTTCTGCAAGGTGAACTATTGAGACGTAAAACATTTACATTTTCTCCATTCTAGTCTCTGCGAGTTATGCGAAACAATAGATTTGACTTTGATCTATATTGCATGCTTCAAGAGTTTTGAATTTATTCGAAAACTAAAGCATTAGTACTCATCCCTCCCTTTCGATGTTCAAGGCGTTTGGGTAGCTTTTTTCGCGTGCTAGCTGTCATGATTTCATGTCGTATCTTCACTTCAGTCACGTTCGCCGGTTAGCTCATAGTTTGTGATTCTTGGCACGTGGTAACTTGTTATTCCAGTTTGTAACCAGTTTTATTTACACCCCCATTCATTTCTTCGATCGATGAATATTTCTTTCAAATTCCAATTTAACGGTTTTTTTGTCAAAGCTCTTGGTTTCAAAGAATTAAATCTTGTTTGTTATAGCATTGCCTCGTCAAAGCTCTTTTTCGTGTTGATCCAGTTGAAAGGAATGATTCCCAAAACTTATTACCTTTGTCATGCAATTATATTCGCTTATGGCTGTGTTGTCAAAGTTTAATCGTAAAGCATTTCATGAAAAAGCTTTCATGTATCATAATGAATTATCGAGAATTTATGTCAAGGAAGTGAAATCGTGGTAGGGCAGGGTTTTTTTTACTGATGTTTTAGTTTCATTACCAATAACTGACAGAACGAGATCTCGACTGGTTTTTTTTGGAATGTTTTTCTTTCTAGAGGGCAAAGTTCATTTGACTCTGTGTATTTTGTAGTGTTTTTGTTGTTATTTTCTGATTGAAGGCCAGCTATTTACAACAATTTCCAAATTATTGTCTCTTAAGTTTTCATCACATGTTCAGGTTACTAGGTCTAGGAATTTTAACAATCAAACTTTTAGATTTGATTTTAACAACCAACTTTTTGAGTTTATTCTTTGAATTGTCAGTAGTTTGGTCTCCTGTTTTGTTGTTCTTAAAATCAGGCACCCTAGGGTCTTGCACATTTTGGAATGCAGTAATTACATTTTTGAAAGTTCTTAAAATTATACTTCTTCATTATTCGCATAGGGTAGGATTTGGAACATTTTGGCCTTGTCTAGACAGGTTTGGGCCAATTTTGCAATAGTTTCCAAAGAACCCTTTCATTGCTTCCTGCCTTTTATTACAATTGTAGAAATAAAATGTAAGATTGGAAAATGCCAAAGTGATATCTTTCCTACTCTGACAACAACACTGTTTTCGACATGTCGAAATCTTATTATTTGCCTCAGCGTAATTTGAGAGATGTCAGTTTTCCCTGGTAAATTGTTTTTGATTCATGCAGTAGAAAGGTATCATTTTGGTACAATTGTAGAGAAAAAAATTTACCCAGTGCTATTCACAGAAAGGCTCATATGATACAGCTACTTGGAAATAAAAAAGAGAAAAAGAAGAAAAAAGATGGGTTTGTTTCTGCAAATCATTTGAAGGATTACGCTTTTCTGTAAAATCTCGGGAAGGTTTTTCATGGCTTATTTGATTTTTGTTTTGTTTGTGCCATTTTGTGAATAAGATCTGGATTAAATGAGATTAATGGAGTCATTTGGGGCTGTTTGTGTGCATATTTGTGATTAATTGACTTAACAGTGCTAAACCTTGAGTGTAATGAAATTAATGTTGATGCCTGAATGTGTTAATATACTGTGTGAAGTTTGTTTGTCACTGTATTGCATTTTTAGCATGTGTTTTTTTTTACTGCTGAGGGTATAGGGGAGTTGGAATCAGTAAATATATTTACATTTCAGTATCCTGCCATTTATTTTATGACTGCGATGCAACCCCACCACCTCGTAGACTGAATTATGTCCCATAAACAAGTATCTTTGCACAAAGTAGCTTTGACATGAATTTCATTAGTGTTAAACAGAGCAAATTCATTTAAGATGATCTGTTTTATTTCATGTCCACCTTTCTTAAATTTATCAGGTTGCAGTCTTGCAGGTCATAGGATAATTGGGATATTGACCTGCATGATTTATCCACCCTTAGGGGTATACTATAATCTGGGTATATAATCCTTTTGATTGTTGCTGTTTTGATTCTAGCTAATGTTCATCACCAGTGCAGGGCAGACTGGTACAGTACACAGTTTGTTAGCTTTGATTTATGTTCCTTCACTGCATTAAGCATGGTGTAATCTAGTCAAAAAGCTTGAGGATAAATTTCTATTGATAGTATTTTGGCTGGGGTCACACTTGCCTTGGCAGAATTCCAAGCTGTGGCTCACAAACATTCCTGTTGCTGTTGAGCGTAGAACATAAACATATTAGCCATCCTAAACAGATGTAAGCAGAATTGAGGTGGTTCTGTAGGGCCAGGCCTTATTTCCCATACAGCTACTGTTTAGTTTAAAACTAACCAGGGTTAACAACATTTTTAGGGTATAATTAGTAAATTAAAATGCAAGACTTTGGCTTTAAAAAAAAAGAAAACAAAATTATTTCTATCCCTAACTTCACTTGTTATATGTAGGAGTTGATTGAACTGATGATTAATTTAAAAAATAACAGAACTGCTGTAGAAAGAGATACTTTCATACAAAAGATTTAAAATCATCAATGTTTCATCTTAAAACCATAGAGCTATCAAAGTTAATGCTGTGAAAAGGAACATGAAGGGAAAAGGAAATTAATGTAAAGATGGAGGAGGTCTTAGTTACTAAGTTTTGTGAATAGTAAATTTTGACGAAAGTGAATGCAGACTTCAAGGTAAACAGGGTTCTGGAGTTTTAGTTTTTACTGGCAGAGTAAATTTTTATTTAGCTTTTTTTTTTTAAAGATAAAATTGTCTTATCTCACACAGTAAAGGATGTCTGATGATGTAGGTGGCACAGTGTGGTAATGTGGGTTTGTCTGCTAGACTATTCTAGAGTGTGGCCCCAGCCACAATAAAGTGATTGAAAAATAGTTTTTGCAATTTAGTGATTTTGCTCGGTTCTCAAGTTTGAAACCGTCAATCCAAGCAGGCAGATCATTTTTGAGAAGATATTTTCAAATCAGGAAATTTATTTCCTTGCTCCAAATTCATTGATAGGAGTCTTGTTTTGTTTATGAAACTGTTAACAACTTTGTTTTCCTTAATTAATTACTGAGAATACTAGAAGAAATTAGACAAAGTGACGGCAATTTAGGATCTTGTTTTACTGCGAAATTGCATGGTGAATGTGAAAAAGGTTTTGTACGTTAGTTTGTTGTTTGAATTTTGCAGCAACTGAGTTGGCACAGTTGGTAGGGCCTCCTGGACGTCTGCAGATGGAGTTTTGCACACCTTCAAAGTTGCAGGGTAGCATAACATTTAAAGAAATTTTAAAAGAAAATTACCCATTCCAAAGCAGTTTATTGTGAAAATTTCAGATCAATCTCGCAGAAATCCGATTTTTTTTTATATAATTGGTGGTCATGAGTAGCCTCATAGAACATACATTGTTATTCGTCTGCTAACTATAGTGAGTGGAGTTTATACATTATATTCAGTTTCAGTGACAAAACCAAGCATATTCATAGACATTTTCAGATTTATCTTTCCAGAAGAAATATTGAAGCCAGCTGAAATCTGTAATTGGCCTTCAGAAATTCAAAAGAATTTTCATGATTTTTATCTCAAATTTTTCCCTTTCTCAGCTTGGTAGTCAGAAGCTTACAGGAATATAATGTTCAAATCCACTTAATTGCACTTTGTCTCAGATCTCAGTGCTATAAGGGTTCATAGTTTGCAATGCTTCATATGCCTTGAGCTAGATACTGTTACAAAAGCTTGGAATTGACTCGTAAAGGACTGAATTGTGCCCACTTTTGTTTGCCTGCTTTGATTAGCCTGTTTGGATTTCTTAATGAAATGTAGCCTCGGACTTTTGAGAAAAGAAAAAAGATCATCTTATTGAGCAGAAGTCCTTTTGTTTAAATTTTTGTAACGGTATCTGTCTCAGGAATGGTTCTTGTCAGAACCTAAGTGGCTATGTGTGTGAGTGACAGTGTGTGGTCAGTGTGATGGAGAGTTGGGAAGCTTGATGTTTTGTATTGTTTTGTATGGGTTTTAATCAAACTGCATTTGAATTCAAGAGCAAGTGACAAAAAGCCTATTTTCAAGTCATCTATGATCCTACCTCCTGTCATTTTGGTTAGCCAGCCACAGTTTGTTTTGTTGGCTTGGTTTAAAATGAATTTTCTTGACTCTGCTTCTCTTGACGTGTCAAGTGGTGAGGTTGTAAACTACAGTTTATTTTACTTGCTAGTTTGGATTACCAGCAATGTATTTACGTTAGTTTCTTGCTCTTGTGTTCAGATATAGTGGGAGATAACAGTGCATGGAAGACTGATTGTCTAACACAGCTTTTTTTTTCTTATTTGCCATACACTTTGCCCTCAATCTGGCCAAGCAAATACAAATATGCCAATAAGTGTGAAATTTATTTGAAACCAATCAGTTCGCTTTAAAACAATGTGATAAAAATCAAAGCAGCAAAATTTTCCAGGGTGAAATTGTAAATTTTGACATTCAGTCTTCCATGCACAGATATGATGTTACATGTTTGTTTTGTACTGATATATTCCTTCAACAGTATCATGTTACATGTGTAAGAAACATTTTTCTAAACCCTTGGCTTTGTTTTTATTATCATTTAGGACAGCATCAGAAATTGACGATAAAGCTGTGGAGGCCTTTGTCGACGAGGATGATTTTATCATATCCCTAGACTACAATGACAAAATGGGAGTTTGTAGCATAGTTTTGGAGACATCGAGCTGACAAATGGTGTCAGAGGTTAATGGCTTGCTTTTCTACTTTGCCAAGTTGGAGGACATAATTTACAAGTTGTATTGACTGTGCATATTTTATGGAAATTCTCTGCTAGTTATGTCTACAAGGAGAATGCAATATCTGTTTCTTTGCAATGACAGTTGACTGTAAGATGTAAGAGTGGCATTTTTTTGTCACTCAGTGTTTAGGAGGTTTTTCTTTTCAAGAGTATTGTATTACTATGAGGAATTGTCAGTCATGCAACTTTGCATATGTATTTAGCATGAGTTAACCCTTTGACTTCCAAGATCTGATCGTTAATTCTCCCCTCAAGCTGCAACACATTTCCTTTTAAATTAGTTATGAGAATTTGGTGTTGACCAAGACAACAACTTCAATCTTCTAGTTTGGGTATTCTCATTACCTCTTTGTTGGGTAATGTGTAGATGTTATAGGGAGAAGTTACCAGTTGATCACTTTTGGTCGTTTTTAAATGGTTGTCCCTTTAACTGTCAGTAGAACTGTGTAACTTCCCCATGCATTATCAGTAGATTCGTCCACAGTGAGTTGATGAAAATAGACACCAAATGAGCCACTAGAGGCTGTCATTTTGACTTCCCAAAACAATTTTGTCCTCTTGAGTTACAAGAAAATATATGGAAGTTTTAATGGAGAGTTATGGTTCTCATCTTTGTAGTTGATGGGCTAAATTTGATGTACTCTCCTAGCAGGGAGTAATGTTTGTGGCACAGGAAGTGCCCATATCACAAGATTTGTAATTTTTATTTGTAGTAAAATATCTCCAGGACGTTCTCTGGATAAGATTGTATATTTGTACTAAGATATGATATATCACTGGGAGAGAGTTGTTTTGTAATTTATTTCATGGGAAAAAAATCAACCAAAGTTAAGCGTTACTCCAACAAAAGAGTATTATTTCAGTCACAGTGTAATAATTTATGTGCAAGCAATATTATTCTCTTTGGATAGTTTGTGATGTTTCTTTTTAAAGAAAAAATAATTTTGTATTTTAATTCTTGTAGAACCATTTTGAAAGAGAAACATTGCCTCCAGACAAAGTTTTTGTTTGATTTTCTGTTTCTTCTCTTTTTGTATTATTATTTTATAACAAAGCTGTCAAATTTTATGATTCAGTGCTGTGTAAACTTTGCTTTCATGTTTGAAGCATGTCAGGGAAATATTTCTTTGTTACAGCAGTATCTGACCTTTCTCAAGGGGTTAAAATGTCTTTTATTGTTTAAGAAAAAATTAAAGCTAACTTTAGGATGCAAGTATTTCATTGATCAAAGCTAACTTAATTATTAAAACATGCAAAACTAGAGCAAATAGGAAATGCAGGGTTTTTTCACTCTTATGCTTTGAAGCTGAGAATCAGTATAACCCAAACAACTATTAAATGCCAACCAGTATCCTCAGTGTTAAATTTAGCAAAGCACGGCTTTTTATGCTATTATTCCATTTACAGCTGACAGGATCACTTATAATTTAACATTAAAGTGCTGGGTGTTGCCAGCCCATAAACCATCAGTTTTTTGTGCCAGCTTGACATATCTAACATGGAAATTGAACTTTCCCGGGGAACAGGCCTAAAACAAGTAGGTAAAAGAGCCGAAGGTGTGCAACTAAATCACTTTAAATTTGCTTGGGATTATGTTTTGCTTAACAATGGCTTTTTCAGCATATTTTAGCATACTCTCTTCTAAGTGTTTTTACAAAGTTCACAATTTCTTTTCCTTTCCTCCAATTAAGCTACTTAGTTTTCTTCTTATAATTGTAATTAAGAACTAAAAATTGTCAACTTGCCTGCTGGCTATAATAACTTTGGTTAAGTAACTAATTACTGACAAGCAAAAAGTGAAAGTTGTAATTTTCTCTGATCTTAAAGTGTCAAGGCAGACAAAACAGTCTCAATTTCTTGTCTGCTTCAGTTTAAGGCAGCTTAATTCCTTAAAGGGCAATGGATTGTTAATATTGAACCTGGCAACAGTTGTTAATAAACTGGTGAAATAAACTAACGAAATAATCAGATGAAAGAGAAATATGACTCGCTTGCCATTAAACTCCTATACATTTTCTCTGTACATTCACTTAGATGCTGACAATGTATTGAACAATCAAAGCTATTCAAATTGGCAATCATTCCCTACTTTCTCATGATGTTAATGAACAATCCAGAAGTCTTACTGTAGGGAGAAAGCAGATACTGGTCGTGGTTAGGGTTTAAAGGGTTAAGAACATGCATGTTGCACAAGGTAATGCAGACCAATCTTAACCTTTCTTTATTGTTACTGGTTGGAAGGAGCACTTTTATCGCATGATCCCAAGGTTGCTTTCACTTCCATCTGCATCAACAGTGTTAAAGGTTTCCTGGTTGTTACCCTTTCATTTGAAGGTTTTTATTGAGGCTTTACCATATTTAGAGAGCTGCTTACTTTAACTCAACGAATTTTAAATATTTGGGCAGTTGATGCCCCTTAGGTTTATTTCAGAAATAATTTGAATTAGGAACATTGGGTGTCAAATCCCTAATATTTGACATATTGTTGAGGATCTTGATGTTGTCATAGGTAAGGAGGCCTTCGACACTTCTTACAACATGAAGGAATCATCTAAAATCACTACTGTGAACTGAAGGGCATATTTCCTAGTCTATAATTATTCCTTCTTGCACATCAAGAATATTTGCCAAATTGATGCCCCTCAGTTATTTTCTAAAAGAAATTAGGAGCATTGGATACCAGTTCATCCTTAATATTAAAACATTTCAAAGGATCTTGATGTCGGTATACATAGCAAGTGATAGGGAGGCCCTCGACATTTCTTACCGCCCCATATCTGCTCCCCAATGAAGGAATCATCTAAAATCACTGAAGGTAAACTGAAGGGCATAAATATTTCAAGTCTTTCACAATTCCTTCTTTTGCATATCACTATGGATCTTGATGTTAGTATCAATAGCAAGTGACAGGGAAGCCCTAGAGATTTCTCAGAACATCAATACTGCTCCCTGATGAAAAAATCATCAGTAAGTCATTAAGGTTAATTGAAGGGCATATTTTAGAGTATGTTATATATTTACTGTTCTGTTTTTCAAGAAATCCCCGAAGACTTCACAAAACATTATGAGCTGCCCTCATCTCTGATATTTTTACCAAATTTATTTTCAAGATTACTCATCAGCAACCTGGTTTGCACACTTTCATCGTGTGTGCTTTGCTTAAACTTAGAAAGTGTAATAGGGCAGTTTAGATGTTGCACAGGGGGCAGTCAAGAGATGGTGCAACATCATTTCACCTGTTTTTCACCTGAAGATCAGAGTGCATTTTCTCCACCTGTTCTCCATCCATTTTTCTCAAGTGCTGATAGTGAGAATTTGTTTAACAATCAAACTATTTTTAATTGGTTTTGATTTCCTCACATGACGATGTGTGATGATTAAGGATGAAATTTCAGGGGAAATTAGATGCTGTTTTTCAGGAGTGAAAGAATTAAGCCAGTTGTTAAATGACCTAGCAGGTTCATTTTCTTCTGAAAAAAAAAAAAAATTAAATATGGCTGTAGTGTCTAACCTCAGTGCTCATATCTAATTGTATTGTTGATTGCTTATTAGAAGACTTTGTTGGGAGAAACTACTTCTGTAATCATACCTTAAATTAGCAGATCAGACTCAAGCCTCACAGTCACTTGATAAATTCAGATGGAATTAGATGAAACTTGATCCCAATAGTCTCATGATGGAGAGAATTAGATGAAAAGTGCTAATAAGATCTCTGCAATTGGTTTACCAGTTATCTTTTACTAATAATAGAAATTCAAGACTAAATATATCTTTTCAGTAAGATGATGAAATATTATTTATTAATTCTTAAAACTCACACAAATTAAGAGGTACTACTACACACTCAATCTAAAAAGGTATGTTTCAGACATATTTACAAACAAAAATAACAATAACTGCTTAACGTTGAGGTTATTTCAACACAACTTATCACACCAAGTCTTGGAGGCTAAAAGGTCTTTGTTAGTGGTGTAAAATTTCCTTAATGTACAAGGGGCTTTTGAAGAAGCTTGCTAAAAGAACAAACAGTTTTGTTCAGAGGGATGACATTGGAATTTTGAACTTCTTGATCCCTTCATTATCTAGTAGCAGAGGACAAATTCTACCTTCTTGGTAACAATTTTAACAATGCAGTAAGGCTGTAACACTGTTTAGATGTGGGTTTTAGGAATCTAAAGAAAAAAATTTGTCCTTGTTTGACTCGGGACATTAGTTGAAGAAGAACTACATCATGAGGTTGGTGAAGACTGATTCTGTGATTATATCAAAAGCATTTGGTTCCCATGCAATTTGTCGCTAGATCCTAACTTTACTAATTCCTACAAAAGCCTCCCTGGTTTTCTGCTTTAAGCAAAATTCTGAATGCAACTCTTTCAATTGCCTAAATATTCTCGCATCAGTTACAAGTTGCTAAGTTCAGACTTCCAATGAAGCCTTCACTGCTCGTTGAGAGGCAGTGACACACACCACCCATACGGATGTCTCAACAGTGTCAAATACTTCTCACATTCCTTCCCTCGGTATCTACTTCTCTAAGCCTAGTCTGAGCCCTGAAAAGAAGCAAGTTTCTTTTCGAGTTCATCGGCCTTCATTCGCAATCTCCGCACCTCCTCTTTAAGGTGGGCGTTCTCCCTCTCGAGATTTTTAAACTTTTCTGTGACTTCAATTTCTTTCTGTCTACGCAAGTCTCTAGATCTTTTCGCAGCAACATTGTTTTTTATTCTACGTTCCCAATATTTTTCGTCTTTTTGTGACTGGTTGTAAAACTTCCGTTCCGCCTTTTTCGTGATCGGCAATGGATTGTACACGTATTTTGAATTTCGACGTCGCCGAACCGGAGTTTTTCCAGGCTGGGGGCCACTTGCCTCTTGGTGATCTTGCCTGGTACCTCCTACACTTTGGCACCATTGTACAATCGCGTTTGTACCCTCTGGTTGAGAGGTGTTTGCTTGAAGGGACTGAAAAACAGATGGGTCCACTTGCAATGGGAGTGATGAAATTTTGGATAAGTCCACGGATGACAATACATTGTTTACACTAGCAGTTACTTTCGAGAATTCTGTGACCGCAGGAGAAACATGCTCTACAGTACCAGTGACGGTGGTAGCTGGAAGTCTCGTACTAGTGCTAGCTACCAGAGACAAACTTTGTGCATCCTCACATGACGCTGGTGTACTCTCCTGACAGTTTTGAGTTTGCACAGAAAGAAATTCATCTAGGTCCATATAATCTGAAGGAAAGCTGCTCCTAGTTGACGTCGAAAGCGTTTCGACACCCGAATCACTCGACTCACTATCATCGCCTGTAAGCAAAAAAGTAACAGGAATCTAAGTCGTTTCCTTGGGTAACAATGTGCACAAAATAAAATGACGTTCCAGGGAGAGCTATTAAGGTTAAAGGAAAATCATGTAATGCCTTAAATTATTAACCTTCGACGAACACGAAGAACGAACAGTTCAAGAAAAACGGCACCATTACGTAAGGAAGATTTCATTTTACTTGCAACGAACGTGACGTAGCTGTACTTTCTAAACTTGACATGACTAAGAGCGAGAGAACTATCCACGACTTACTTTGGTTTGGCGCTGCCGGACTTGAATGTCTAGACATCATGAGTTAAAGATTTTCCCAGTTCAAATACTTTTACCTCGTTGGACAGTGCATATATATATCACCGATTTCTGAAAAACATCTGTAGGAAATACGGCTGTCGTTTCCACATGTTACTCTGATTGGTTGAAAATATCGGCACGTGCAGCTATTTTTCCTTATGTAACAAGCATGGCGGCCAATGCACGTGCAAGGACTGACGCTCTTGTTATATAACTTTCTACACATCGCCAGGTAACCTGGCAGTGTGATAACTGCATATTCTACAGGACGAGCAAAGAAATTTTGTTGCAGAACGAGAAATAAATGGTCAAAGTGTTGTAATTTCTCGCTTGGAAAGGGCTAGTTTTAAAACTTTCTCGTTAAACAACCGTCACTAATTTTTTTTTATTATAACAGCTTATTAGCAGCGCCTCTCCTTGACTTTGAAGTTGAAGGACGTGTTCCGTTTCGAGAGTGAATCCAAATTAGGAAATACTTGTGGGTTTGAATAGAACCCCGCATGCCCACTTGCTTTTGAAACGGGAACAGCTTGGCCAAGCAGGATAGAAAAATCTTAAAAAAAGATAGTAAATTTGGCAGCACTGCAAGTTTACGCAGGAAGTTAATTTTAAAGCAAGTTTCACTCATTCATTTTTGTACAGCTTTGGACCAATCAAGTCTTTGACCTTGCCATGCCTTTCGCTGACATCTGCAGACAGAGAGTCAAAATAATAGAACAATCCACCTATTTACAAAAATAAAGGTAAAGGACTCAATTCAGTGCACGTTTAGTTTGCCATAACAACATACAGCCATCGTCTTTCACGCGACCGTTCACGTTTCAAAACATAATCATGCGACACGCACAGAAAGTTGTTATATGTGAGGGATGTCGAGACGAACCAGATGATTAACAAAAAAAGATTGAAGATAGCCGTATAAATAACGCCTGATTGCGATTTTTTCCAATGAAATCTTTGCTCGAATCGTGGAAAGCAATATATTTTTGTTTCAGAAACTTAAAAAGATAAGTTACGTAATATTAGCCAGGAGTTATCACGCAACTAGGAAACGAGAGTAAGAAGTGTCGCACTTACCACGGTTTCCACAGACTTTTTTCCCTAAGCGGTCGTCGACGAAGAAACTGGTGGTTGTGCGCGGAAAAGGAACTGTGAGGCGAGACCCAAACTCTAGAACCCTGCTTGCGGGCTAAACTGAAAGTGGTAAGGGGTCAGTTTAAGCGGCTGTAGACCGATTTACTCGAGATATCGCCGAAGTTACCTAGAGAGATTAGAGCAAGCAAGAGGGGGAAATTCAAGATAAACTCTCAGAGTACATTGCAATCTCTCTCTGAAATTTAAGGGGAAAGTGATCACCCTCAATAATCCGCGAAAAAACGCCAAACCACAAAGCACACGAGCAAAACTGATTACAGGTAGCCCAAGCTAACACAAAGAGCTTCCGTAAATAAGCATCTATGTTCGATGGCCCAATGGGCGGAATATAAGAATTTGTATAAACGGTTGTAATCTCATCTAAGAAAATCTCAACTAGTTTGGAATTAAACAAAGTTTTATTTCTATTCTATTTTTATTCTGAAAAGCCCCCTATCCACTGTTTTAGTATATACTAATGTTTGATATTTGTGTATTTACGAGGATTGTTTGTGCAGGCTTGGGTTACCACAGGTAGCCCAGGCTTCAGCTGTGAGATGATCACCTTGCGCAATAACAGTCATGGCGGAATTATAAGAGTTTGTATGGGAATATTTACGACCGCTCTGAGGAATGAAAATAGGCTCTTCATCGATTTGACCTGAGGGGATCCATGGTTCTAAAACAACTTATTGATAATAAGTGATGGTGTGGTCCCCGGTGAGGCTCAGTTTGAAAAGGAGGTGAGGTTACCAAGCTGTTTCCAACGTTTGTGTGTCCCACAGGTAATGCAGGCTCACTGTTTGTGTCACGTACACATGGTTAAATAGAGAGAACAAATGGGGCGAAGTTTAGGTCTGGAAATTTGCTGAAAATGGAAATAAAAATCAATGAAACTTACCTATGTAGCGATTTGTTGTTGTCCTTAATATGTACACGAAGTTTCGGGAAAAATACTCTTCTTCACCTTTCCTTCATGAAAGAAAGGTAAAGAAGAGTATTTATCCTTCATGAAGGAAAGGTGAAGAAGAGTATTTTTCCCGAAACTTCGTGTACATATGAAGGACAACAACAAATCGCCACATG